CTCACACAATATACCATAGCCATATATGTTGCATAGCTGCTGGCATTCTTCCAATACCTCTCGCATGCCTTATACTCAAGAGTACTTTCGGGGATTAACAGTTTCAAGAGAAGCAACTGAAAAATGCGATCATTGCATTACATTATATAGATCAGATAGGTCTTCATTTATGTCACTTACGAATTGGGCGAGAAGTCATTCACAGTCGCACTGCAGATAGCAGCTCAGCTACCAGCCATACGTATAATATCTAATAAACTCAAACTCACCATCAAAGGTCCTTGATCGTACCCGTGCCAAGAATCAGGTAGCGAAAATTCGGAATTGGCCCACTCATCGAGGAACTTCATACCAAACTCTGAGTTTCTCACCTAAAACCACTTCTGATTTCCAAAGGTGACAATATCCAGAAAGAAGCACCAAATAGTTGCCTGCAGCTATCTCCCAGTTGAAAAAGCGTTCGTACAGTATAAGGTTGACACGGTCATCTATCCATTCTTCAACGCAGTGATTGGGGTTGATGACTCCTCAAGTATAGGTCAAATATTTGCGATTTTTATTTGTCGTACTTGAACCGTTCCAGACTGTGCCACCTCCGAAAGTGTTAATATACTTAGTATGTTGTTGTCTTTTCTTAAACATAAAAGTGCTAAGTGATGATTTGCTGCGTGGCAAGCAATCCATCACTTACATAGTAAACCTCAGTCTCCAGCCACAAAAACGATGCGGGGGCTCAATGCTGAAAGTGGAGGAAGCCATTCCACATTTGCAGAACTTCAATCACAGTTGTGAGAATACTCTTCTATAGCTACTCTGCGCTTTTGGCTAGATCACTGTTGCCGTCTGGCATTGCTGCAATAAACCTTTCCTGCACCTGTTAGGCTATAAATGAGCGATGATAAAGATATTAGCACACTTTTACTTAAAAATTGCTGCTGGGTGATGGCAATTGCAACTCAGTTGAGCGCACGAACAACGCGAATGCACGTATCGCTGCTATATTCATGTGAGTAGGCATCTTACACGCCTTAGAAAAGAATGGAAAACATGTACCCGGTCGCTCCCTTCAAGGCAGCTCACTATAATTCTTTTTGGTGGAAGCTGATGAGGGGTCCTAACTATTGTCCAAGCAGGCGAATGATCCATTCACGTCTGAGAAATCCACCTCCGAAGAGTTCGCGGCTCACCATGGAGTTCGCGCAACTCGTCCTTAGTCACTCGCAAGTTATAGTTACGGAGCAGGCGCAAAGGGCGTGAATGGATATTGCGCTATCGCTTGGGCACTGTCAGTTGAAATTTGCTCTTGGCTTCTTCTGTGTCCTCTGTGGGCATGCGCAAAACGCATCCTGTTCTATAGTCGAAGACGCAACTGTTTTTTCAAGGGGCTCATCAGTTGCAGTGTCGGCACACCAGCATTTCCTTCTCGGAACTCTGCACCTCTTCTGCGAATGTGCTCTCTAATCATTTGCAATCAACTGAGGCAACGCCCTTTCCACGCTTGCGGTGGGAAAGTGATCAAAGAGTATTTTACTAAAGAGGCGTAGAGTCCAGGCGAGGCCTTTTGTTTAAGTTGTCCGCTCCGTCCGGGACGGTAAATTGTTCCTATGTGAACTGGGATCAAAGTCGGCATGAAAACCGGGTTTCTGGAAGAGAATGTACTGTGCTCATCAAACCAGTGTCGCCGCGCGGGAGCGGAGAGCTGATGCGACAGTTGATAAGCCCTGTACATTACTTTCCAAAAACAGTCAGTTCTCATGTCCGTCTTCAATTTTCCTGTTTTCTCAAATATCATTACCGTCTCGGAGAGTAGAGAACAG